CACAAAGCACTTAGCATCTAATGTCTCTGGGATGTCAGAAGAGGCCAAAGCAATAAGTCAAGAATCACTAGAAACTGTTGTAGGAGCACTGGGCTAGGAGTCAGGGCATTCACAGTCAACTTTGCCTTAATTGTCTGGTGGAGGGGAGAACCCTGCAATGCACATAGTGATGCAAAGCAGAATGATGGAATTGCTGTGGAAAAACTGAAGACGGAGGAACAAGGGGTTTGAAGAAGGCATCTTAGTGGGGCAAGCCTCTGAGCTTAGCCTTGAAAGACAAACAGAATGATAACAGGCAAAAATAGATAAACAGATGTGAGAGGTATAGGCAAACATTCCCTTATCCTTTATAATTCCAAGATTAAAGTAAAAGGAACACCACTCACTATTCTAAGTGTGCCCACAAGTACATCCAAAAGAGAAACAGGTCACCCAGTTGGAAAAGAAGTAGAGGGAACTTCACAGATAATGTGGTGGCAGAGCTGAGTCTTGAAAGGTGAGTAGGAATTAGCAAAAAAGAAGGGCAGGCCTGAGCAAAGGCTGATATGTGGAAGCCAATGCTGGATTGACAAGAGAGTGAATATCCAGGATGCCCTGAGTGTTTGACACCTGGAGGGCCTGGAAAGAGGACTTGTCTGCCACAGGAAAGTGGGGTCCTGTCATAGAGAACTTTGAGGGGCACATCATAGAGTGGAGAACTTATTCTGATTTGGGGGATCCATGGAAGATTCCCAAGGAGGATGGTGACATATTTCTTCATCTGTGGTCCTTTGGAAAGACAATACTGGAGGCAAAATGGATCAACCAGTCACATTTCAGAGGCAGAAGTTCATTATGATATAAAATATGAGAAACCTAAACTAGTGCTGTGGACTTGGGAATGAAAGAAAGCAGCAGTAAAGAGACACGAGACACTGGAGAAGTAGGTACAAACTCAGAGGTGAAGGAGAGCAAAAAGCCTTCCAAGACTCACTGAGTGGGCCACAGTGGTGAAAAATAACTCAAAGAGAAGTTAAAACATTAGCTTGGACACCACAAGTAGTGCTTAGAAACTTTCATGACCATAGCGAGATAACACATTCTTTGAAGTTCACAGACTACTTCTGAGTTCAGCCTGGATTTCTTATCTCCTGCCCCACTCCTTAAACTGGGTTTGATAAAAGCTGTGAAGATTTAGCTGGGGACACTGTCATTGGATGCCAGGCATGAATCAGGGGAAAATAGCTTCTTAACAGAAAGATCTTAAACATTTTTTGAACACTACTTTTCTTGTCAATGATTCGTTAAACATAACTCTAATGTAAATTATGGCATATGTCCGCTTTTATCTTCAAGGAATAATATAGAGCCAGATAAATTACAGTAATTTGCCATTTTGCAACAACACTTGAGGGGCAGGGTCCCTGATGCATTCCTTTGATCATTGATGGCCACTGAATACCCCTGTGTGCCAGGCAGTAAACTGGGCACTGGGCAACCAGCATTGACCAAGACCAACATTGTTCCTACTTTCATTTCTAGTGAGGAAGACAGACACAAAACAGGTGTGAAGGGTTCGGGCAATGCCCCCCATTTCCTTCTTAATTTCAAGATTAAAATAAAAGGAACATCCTTGCTATTATAATTAGGTCCAAAAGTTCATTCAGAAGAGAGGCTGGGGGGCGCCTGGGTGGCTCAGATGGTTAAGCGTCTGCCTTCGGCTCAGGTCATGATCCCAGGGTCCTGGGATCGAGTCCCGCATCAGGCTCCCTGCTCCTTGGGAGCCTGCTTCTCCCTCTGCCTCTCTCTCTGTCTCTCATGAATAAATAAATAAAATCTAAAAAAAAAAAAAAAAAAAGAAGAGAGGCTGGGGCGCCTGGGTGTCTCAGTTGGTTAGGCGACTGCCTTCGACTCAGGTCATGATCCTGGAGTCCCGGGATCGAGTCCCGCATCGGGCTCCCTGCTCGGCGGGGGGTCTGCTTCTCCCTCTGCCCTTTTCCCTCTCGTGCTCTCTGTCTCTCATTCTCTCTGTCTCAGATAAATAAATAAAATCTTTAAAAAAAAAAAAAGAAGAAGAGAGGCTGGTCATCCAGATGAAAAGGAAGCAGATCTTCCCAGATAGTGATGCCAGAGATAGGCTTCAAGAGTGAGTGAGAATTAAAAGAACAGTGGGGATGTAATATTCTACAATGGGAATATTATTTTTCTATTTTACCTTTTGTTCTAATGTATTTTTCTTTATATTTATTTTACACCATTTAATTGTGTATAAGATTGAAATTTTTTACATATTCATGGTGAATCATGTCATTATAGAATGACCTTTTCAATCCTAATTAATAACTTTTTGTCTTAGTCTCTTTAGTCTGATATTAAAATAACTGACTTTGCTTTATTTCGATTAGCATGTCCCTGGAAAATTTTCTTCCATCCCTTTATTTCAAATGTTTCTGTATGTTAATGATTTGCTAAGTTTGGCATAAACAGCATATAACTAGATTTGTTATTTTTCATCCAAAATGGCAATCTTTGACCTTAACTGGAGAGTTTAACCCATTAATAATTTTTTATTACTGATTATGTGATAAAATATTAACTTCAAATATGAATTTATTCCTATCTTCTTACATTTTGCTTTCTTTATTTCCTGGGTTTTCTATAAATCTTTTTCTACTCTCTTGACTAAAAAATTTATTTATGTGTTTTTGTTTGTTTGTTTTCCTCATTGCTCACCACATGATTAAAATAATAGAAGATAGTAAAATAGTAATAATATTAAATTATTCAAAATCATTGGAAATGATAAGGGGATCAATTTTCCTGCCACATACAATATTGCAATGATCAATCACTCCAATATATGAAACTTGGTGCTGACATCAGAAGAAATAAGTGTATCCCTGTAGGCCTCTGGTGATGTTCTGCAGAATGCCACACGTACAGATGTGGTTTCTCTGAAACCATGATCTTCCAACTGTGCGAAGTACAACAGCTCTGCAGGGGATCTTGAGCAAGCGCAAACCCAACACATTCAAGAAGGGGCGGGGTTAAGGTCGATACCGGAGCCGGAAGTAGCTCCATTGGACTTTTTCTCTGCACCTGGCACGAGGTTCTCCACGGATTAGCGCTTCCTTGGCGCTGAGGTAGTTTGAAGAATTTGACGAGGGACTGTAGGTTCTGTAATTGGAGGACTGAGTGTGGGGTCATCGAAGGGAATTTTGGGGTTAATAATAGGAGTCTTTGGAGTCGGGATAGTGACTTGTTCTAATTTGAGTTGAATATTCAGATCACCGATTTCTGTCTTTCTTTTCTCATATTTTCATCTTCAAGTTACACAGCTGGGTATGTATTTTTCTTGGTCGTATTAGCTTCTGAGTTTTTTCTAATTTTAGTTATTTTTCTTTTTACCAAAAGTTACTTAGAAGTGCGTTTTCAGTTTTAAGAAGTTAAACCTTTTATTAATTTCTTTCTTTTTTTTTTTTAATTTATTTGACAAGAGAGAGAGACAGCGAGAGCAGGAACACAAGCAGGGGGAGTGGGAGAGGGAGAAGCAGGCTTCCCGCAGAGCAGGGAGCCCGATGCGGGACTCGATCCCAGGACCCTGGGATCATGACCTGAGCCGAAGGCAGACGCTTAACGACTGAGCCACCTGGTGCCCCCCTTTTATTAATTTCTATTGCAACTTATCTGTGCCTTATGTAATACTTATTCATTGGAATGTGTTTAGACTTCCTTTAAGGCTAATTCCAGGGTCAGTTTTTATTAATATTGTGTCTCTAGCTCAAAAATAGTAGCAGTTCTCCCACTGATAATTGTCTTAATCAAAAATGTATATTCTTTCAGTGTATGTACCTACTCTTTTAATCACTGAGAGCTATTTGTGTGTGAGTATATATATATATATACACACGTGCATTTTTAAAAATTTTGTATATATATTTTACTTGGTGTCACTGGATATAGGTAGGAGTACTTTTCAGAATAACGATCATCAAATTATCCTAGGTGAGTCAGGGCAGACAGGGCATGACCTAACATGTGCACCTGGGGAGTGGGGGTGGGTGGGGCTTGGCATGGCTTAGCAAGTGGGAGGTAAGGCAGAGCCGGATATGTAGGGGAAGTGGGGAGAAGCATATGAGGCTGAGAGAGTCTGGGAAGAGGACAGGGCCTTGCACCGGGCAGGGCTAGGTATGCCTTTGTGCAGTGTATGGGACCCACAGGGCTGGGAGTGTAAGGTGAGGCAATGTGTCCAAGGCAGAAGTCTGGCAGGCATTTCCTGGAGAGACTAGGTGGACTGGGTGGGGCAGATGGGTGGGTGGAGCATTCTGAGGGGTGGGGTCATGCATGTTTGAGTGGGCTAGGCAGAGTCGGTTTGTCTGAGTCCATGGTGCAGGGTAAGCAGGGTAGCAAGTGAGTCCTGAAGGGTGGGGCAGGCTGAGTTGACCAAGTGTAAGGGAGTATCGTCTAGCTTTTTTGAGCAGATGGGCAGGGCCTTATGCATTCAGGTGGGCAGAGTGGGTTGGGATGGACCACCCAAGTGTGTCTGGATAAGTGGGTAAGCAGGGCCAAGTGGTGCCAGTCAGTCCCAGGCCGGTTGGCCAGAAGGTGGGACCAGGAGTGGTGGGACAGGTTAAGTCTGGTCCCACTCATTTAGTGCCAACCCAGAGCCCTCCTCCCACCAGCACAGGAACCCTACTTGTAATCCCTGGTCTCTGGTAAGTCCAGGACACAGGTGGATGGGGGAGTGGAGCTGGTGCAAGGATTTTCCCTTCAGCTCTTTCTCGCCATACCCTCAAAGACCTTGCCATGGTGACACTGGCCACCGCCCATTCGGTCACAGCTGCCTGCTGTGGACTGCAGAAGTCCAGGCTGTCCCAGATGCTGGCAGTGCCATTGGCAGTAAAGGAGGCCTCTCAGACAACAGCCACACCCCAGCTGTTGTCTGAAAAGGACCTGCCTCAGGGCTGAAATCTATGCCGGGGCTTTTGCATAGGGGACTTTTGACAAAGCCTGATGAGGGTATGTCAGGGACCCTGGGTGGAAAGAAGTGGACAGTGAAGGCAGAGAGGGTCATCAATGAGGAGGAAAAAAGGCAAAGGGGTGTCCCAACATCATTTACAAAACAATTTGGGAAGACCTGCCGGCATTTTCCTGGCCTACAGCCTTGGATGAGCGAAACTGACGAGTTCCTGTTCCTGGATGGTGTGCTGCAGAAACCAGCAGTGAATGTGAAGAAAATGGAGAATTTGAAGATAAAGGTGGGGTGGAAGGTGACAGAAATGGTGGAATGAGGGGGGCATGAAGACAGGGGTCAGGAGTGGAATACAGGGCAAGGGTACAAGGTTAGGAAGATGACAAGCTGACATCAACTCCCCAATCCCTACCTTGACCACTCTTGTCCCACAGAAGGAGAAGAAGCAGAAGCAAAAGCTCACGGAAAAGTGGAAACACACAGACAAGACAGATGCCAAGGATCTAGCCTTGCTGCGGCAGTGCCTGGGACCTGGCTGTGTGTATCCCACCCGGCCAGGCTCCAAGTACTGCTCGGACGACTGTGGCATGAAACTGGCAGCTGAGTGAGTGAAGTTAAGCAACAGGGTGTGGAGTAGGGCATGATTTATGCCATCCAAAAGTCTATTTATCCCTCTACCCATGTATCCTCCCATCATTCAGCCACCGACCCCCCACCCACCCATGCACCTTACAGCCACCCACCCACTGAACACCCCCATACACGTTCTACCCACCAACCCACTCATCCACCCTTACAGTCATTCACCCATCTAGCCATCCTCCATTCAATCACCCATTCACCAGCATTCACTCATCTACTATTCATTATTCTATACATTCACCATTCAGTCACTCATCAGTTTCTTCTTTTGATGTCCCATTACATTTCTTGCTGTCTCCCTTTCCAGCCGCATCTATGAGATTCTGCCCAAGCGCATCCAGCAGTGGCATAAGAGCCCCTGCATTGCTGAGGAGCACAGCAAAAAAATGCTTGAGCGCATCCACCGTGAGCAGCAAGATGCTCACATCCGCCTGAAGGACATGGAGTGCCATTTCCATGAACTTGAGGCCATAATTCTGCGTGGCAAGCAGCAGGCTGTGTGCAAGGATGAGGAGGTGAATGGGAATGGGTTGGGTGCAGCAGAAAGGTATTTGAAATCTTGTCCTGTCCCTCCCCCTTCTACTCCTTCACTGGCCCTTCCACTGTCCTGTGCAGACCAACAAAAGTAACAGGAACAACGTAAACCTGCAGATCTTCTGTGTCTCCTGCGGGCAGTCAGTCAGTGTGCGTGTTGCCCTGCGCCACATGGAACACTGTTTTGCCAAGGTTGGGGAATTGGCTGGGGGCAGATGGGGCAAAGGTGTTTTTGGCTGGGTGGAATCAGTGGGAAGGAGGGTAGGTTTGGTGCCTGGGTGTTTGTTGTAGAAAGGAATGCAACACACATCCATGGTTCTACCCATTTATGCTTCTGTTCCATCCTTAGTATGAGGGCCAACATTGGAGTATCAGCCAATGGTGAGGGGGGACACCGGCTGCCCAGGCAGGCGTATAGGAACCACCGGGACAAATGTGTTGCTTGGGGCTTTGTCATGGGAAGGCATGCTGTGTACATCCACAGTTCCTTCCATTTGTACCCTTTCTTCCCAGTATGAGTGCAAGTCTTCCTTCGGGTCCATGTACCCCACTTGCATTGAAGGGTGAGTGTGGGTGCTAGTCAAGGTGAAAGGCATGATGTGGACAGGGTCAGGAGCAAGGTGGGCAAGATCAGGGGCAAGATGTGGGTGGGCTCAGAGGCAGAGGTGGGTGCATTAGGGGCAGGGTATGGGTGGGCTTAGGGACAAAGTATGAGCAGGGGTTCAAGGTGGGACCCCCCTTTTCTGACCCTTAGCACTTCACTTTCCACCTCCCTTCAGGGCCACAAGGCTCTTCTGTGATGTTTACAACCCAAAGAGTAAGAGGTACTGTAAACGGCTCCAGGTGCTGTGCCCTGAGCACTCAAGGGATACCAAGGTGACTCTTCCTTCCTTACCTCATCATCCTTCATTCATCCCCTGCTCCCTGCCTGACCGCCATATTCCTCTCTTCCTCTCTGCTTGATTGCCTCCTATTTCTTTCTTCCTTCTGCCTGACTGCCTTCATAACTCCTGACGGACCTCATGTGTCCCCTTCTCCCTTCCTGACCACCCCACATTCCCCCCTCCTTACTGGCTGATTACCTTCTATTCCTGCTTTCTCTCTGCCTGACTTACCCCCCGCCCCCCTGCATTTCTCTCTCCCTCCCTCTTTTGCTCCTTACTGCATAACCATTCCCCATTCTTTTCTTCTCCTTGCTTGACCATTGTACATTCCTTTCCCACCCCTTGCCTGACTGCTCCACATTCCTCTCTTCCTCCCTCTCTTCCTTACTCTCGGACTTCCCTCCATTCTTCTTCTGCCTGCCTCACAGTCATCTTCTCCCTGCTTGTCATCTCCTACATCCTTTCTTCCTCCCTGTTTAACCAGCCCCTATCCCTCCCGCCCTCCCTCCCTCACTTCTTCCACGCCTTACCAGGCCTCTTTCATCTACTGCTCTCAGACCTCCCCTCCATCCTTCCTCCCACTCCTGTTTGATCTCTTTATGTTCTTCTTCCTTTCCTGCCTGATCACCTCCGTCCCCTCCATTCCTGCTTATTTAACTTCTTCCTTCATCCTCCATGCAAGGTCACCCCCCCTTCTGCCTCCTCTTCTCTACCTCATCCCTGAATTCCTCTCTTCCCCCCTGCCGGGTCACTCCCTGTTCTTCTTCTTCCTGCCCGACTGCCCTCCGTCCTCCATTCCTCTCATAGTGCCTGGCTGATCACTCCGGATTTCTCGCCTCCTCCATGCCATGTTGTCCTTCATTCTTGCTCACAGATACCAGACGATGAGGTGTGCGGTTGCCCACTAGTGCACAATGTCTTTGAGGTCACTGGTAATTTCTGTTGTCTTCCCAAACGCTTATGCAACCTCCACTACTGCTGGGAGAAGCTGAGGCGTGCTGAGGTGGACCTAGAGCGCCTTCGTGCGGTAGGCTACAGTGCTGCCTGGGGCTGAAGGGGGGCTCGCCTTCTGGAATCCCCCTCTCATGCTCACCTCCCACAGTTGCACAAGCTGGAAGAGCTAGTTGAGCAGGAGCACAAGGTGCGCACGGCTATGACGAACCGGGCAGGGCTGCTGGCCCTGATGCTTCACCAGACAATCCAGCATGACCCACTCACCACCGACCTGCGCTCCAAAGTAGACAGCTGAGCCCTGCTTGCCTGAGGTCCTGTACCCAACACCCTGTGCAAGGGAGACATTCAATGAATTCTTCACACCCTTGTTCCTATAACCACTCTCCCCCCCCCTTAGGTCACCTTAGAGTTTCTCTGTGCTTCTCTGTTCACCATTTGTTCTCCTGCCTCTGTTTACCCCTCCATGGGAAGGGGGCCTCAGAATTCCCCTCTGTGTCCATCCATTCTTCCATCCGTCTGTCTCTTTCTTCCCTGAATCTTGGCAGGGCCAGGGGATCTGCCCTGCCCTCATCCCCCACCGTCCAGAGTTTTGTTAACAAACTTTGGAAGAGCAAGGAATTTTAATATCCGTTCCCCCCTCCCCCAGACCTGTCTTTCTGGTCACAGACCCGATTTCAGACCTCTAATGGTGGTGGGTGACAGTGCAACTGTACTTAGGGAGAGGCCGCCATGCACATGCAGAAGTGGCTGTGAAGTGATGCCCGCTTAGGGCTCGGCGGGCTTTCTTCTGTTGGGGGAGATGTGACCTTGCAAAGGAGGGGCCGATGACTCTTGTTCCCTGCTGTCCCTTATCCTAGGCCATCAGATATGTAGTTGACACCTGATTAGCGCACAGCCAATTCATCAACTTCTGTACAATTATTACTATTCTGCAGGCCAGAGGTGTGAGAAAAATGGGATGGGAGCTAGGTGAGTGTGGGATAGTCCTCCGTGAGAATTCCACTTTGGGACACTGAGTCACGCCCCTGCCCCTGCCCATCTTGTTCCACCCCCTTGCCATCCCATGAGGTCCCAGCTCTTTCTGTCAGCCTTGGTCCCTGCCGCAGTCCAGTCCCGGTCTGTCCATCTCCCTCCTCCCTACACCTCCCAGCACTGCCCATCACATCCTCTCTTCCCCCTGCCCCCCCCCCCCGACCACACTGCTCTGGGTCTGTCCTTTCCAGCCTGCCCTGTACATTGAAGCCCCAGGTGGTCATGAACATTTCATACTTGTAGGGCTGCCAGAAGAAGCCTGGGACCTCTGCCATATCTGCTTTGATCAGGCCCCCAGCCAGGCCTCCCATGCCATGGAGGTGTGTCCGGGAACGCTGCTTGTGGGTACTGGTATGTTTGAAACGACAGACTTGAACACCTGTCTTATTTTTTTCTCTACTCCCTGGTCCCTTGTGGATTTTTTTCATTTATTTTCATAATTACTTTTTTTCCCAGGGACTCACACATTTTACCTAAATGGTTAGGTATGCTGCTCGAGACTTATACCTCATATTCCACCATACTCAGTTGATACTCCCACCTACCTGATGCGATGTCTCCTTTTTTTATTACTAATATTGTATTTTTTTCAATTTGATCAGATTTTCCAGGGCTAATCCATATAATTAATTATATGAAAGGACTCGCATTTTAATTTATTTTATTCCCTAGCTTTATATTTATTTTATTTATTTCAACTTTCATTTTTATTAATTGCCACTTCTTGATTTTTGTGTTTGGTGTTTCATTTTCATATATTTACTGGATTTTGTCGTTCTTTTTCTGATCTCTTGAATCAGATTCTTAACTCAGTTATTTTTTTTCCAATCTTTTTCTACATATATAGTAAAGGATTTGAGGCTATACACTTTCCTCTAAATGTGGTTATTATATCTCCTAAACTCTGGTATTAAAGGTGCAACTTCAGAATTGATTTCTCACTTTGATCCTAGCTACAGAGGAAAGTTTCTTAAGTTTCTAACTAGTTTGATTGTCTTTTCTTTCTTTTTTTGTAATTATGATTTTACTATGATCAGAGAATGTAGCCTGTTGAATCTGAACTGGTAAACATTACTCAAGATTTTCTTTGTAGCTTAGATACTCCACTGAACTATAAAACTTTCATGGATATAAGAGAAGAAAATATATTCTCTGCTAGGTACAGATTACTCATGGTTAGGGCTTTCAATCTAGTTTGATGATTGATGTTTCTTTACTCTGATTTTTTTGTTTATGTCAGCTGTTATATTACAAAAAAGATAGAATACACGCAACTAATGAATCGTTGAACAAGACATCAAAAACGAATGATGTATTTATTATATGTTGGCTAATTGAACATAATAAAAATAAAAATAAAAAAGGATAAATGCAATAATATTTTAAAATAAATTTCTCCTTGTGGTTCTGTAGTTTTTTTGGGGGGGAGGGGCATCCTAAAGTGTATATCTTAGGCCATTTTGCACAATGGCATTATGTATTTTCCTTGTTTTGTCTTTTTTTTGTTTCCTTTTTTGTTTGTTTCCTTGTTTGAGTGTTTTTGACTTTGAATTTATTTTGATAAGTACATCACCACTGCTGCTTTTCTTTTGCTGCCACTCACCGTGTGTATCTTTGCCTAAATCTTTATTTTGTGTTTTTATCTTTAAGATACACTTCTTGTAATTGTATATGTTTTTTGCCCTAATCCCGCATTTATGTCTTGAGATTCAGTCCATTTAAATTTATATAATTATGATAATCTTCTCTTTTTCATCTTATGCTTACTATTGATTTTACTATTTCCTAAATACAACTTTTATCCTTTTCTTCTTCTTAATAGCTCAATGAAGTTTCTGTTCATTTTTGTCCCTCCCCCTTACCTCATTAGTTTGGAAATTTTTATTCTTACTAATTGTTCATTATATACATTTTTACTTCTAACAGACATGATTTAATTTGTTTTCTCTGTTATTTGATCAGAATATAATTAGACCTTTCTTTGTAAGGGAAATTGCTCTCTCCTCCATATTTGTCTCAGCAAGATGAAGAATATTATTTCTGGATTTTTCCAGAGAAATTTAAGGTGCTTATTTGGAGACTATATTTTTCTGAAGCTAAGTCAATTCTGCTTCAAGAAAACTTAACATTTTAATTCAAAATCCCCAGTCACGTTATCGTAATTTAACTATAGCTATATGAATGTATACCCAAGGGTGTGTATTTTACAAGAGTCATTGCTAACCATTGTTTTGTTCTCTTATTTTGAGATCTATCTCCTGATTTAGTATTCATTTATTTGGAATACTTTCTTTAGTGCTTTCCTCAAATAGAGTAAGTTCATGGAATACTCTTAAATATTTCATGTCTGAAACTGTCATTCTTTTGCACTGACTAAGGAATGGTATTTTGGGAAGGGGTACAGGATCTCTGCATTGGAGTCCTTATTTCTCCATCGTCTATGGGAAGTAGATTCCAGGATGGCCTCCAATGATTCATGCTTCCTGATATTCATGACCTGTGTAATCCCCTTCACTTAAGTAACTGGCTTCTAACCAATAGCATGCCTTAAAATTGAGGACATATCACCTTTTTGATTAGATTACAAGAGATGGTGGCTTTTGTCTTACAAACAGGTTTTCTTTCTTTTTTTTTTTTAAAGATTTTATTTATTTGATAGAGATAGAGGGAGAGCCCAAGCAGGTGGAGTGGCAGGCAGAGGGAGAGGGAGAAGCAGGCTCTCCGCTGAGGAAGGAGCCCAATGTGGGACTCGATCCCAGGACCCTGGGATCATGACCTGAGCCGAAGGCAGCCACTTAACGGACTGAGCCACCCAGGCGCCCCAATTGCTAACCGGTTTTCTTCCTTGTTGGCTTCAGTGAAGCAACTTGACATGTTGGAAAGGCCTGTGTGGTAGAGAACTGAAGGTGGCCTCCAACCATCAGTAAGAAACTGAAGCACGTAGTCCAAAAACCCAAATGAACCACATAAATGAGCTTGGAAGCAGATCGTCCCCCATTTGAGCCTTTAGATGAGTCCCTAAGCCTGGCTGCTGCCACCTCATTTACGGCCACATGAAAGAACCTGAAACAGGACCAAGCTAAGCTGTGCTCAGATTCCTGACCCACCAAAGCTATGAAATAATAAGTGTTTATTGTCTTAGACCACCATGTCTGTGGGGATGTGGAGCCATATTATTAGGCCCCGAGGGCCAGTGATTTTGTGAAGGACACTGGTTTGGTTTCTGGAATGGGAGCCATAACATCCTTCAGGAATGGTCAGTGTTTGAGCTCTCCATAAGTCAGTTTTAGAAACTGTGTAGGTCAGTGACTGGCAGTCTGGGAAGACTGACGATTGGAAGGCTGCTGGGGGCGTGGCACAGGCGTGCCTGTGTTGGGCATTATTTGAAGTTCCTGTGGAAAGCAGATAATGGCTGTCTCTCGGATGTAGTGATTTGCCATCACTGGATTCATGACATGAAGAGCCTGGGACATGCCAGTAATTTTGGACTTTGAAGTATCTTCTGGCAGTCCCTGTAGTCCAGCCATGGGTGGCTTCTGCTGGTTGGTAAATGATTGGCAGCAGGAGGAATCGGGCATGGTCCCAGCGATTGGGACCCGAGGTGACCAAAGATCAACGGTCCTGAGTTGGTCGGTCACTGGGGGACCTGATCCACGCCTGGTTTCCAGTGTCCAAGGAGGGGGTGGGGAGGGTGAGTTTGAGTTTTCTTCTCTGTCAGAAGAGGGAGGGCCATGGGATGTGCACTGAAATAAGCAAAAGCTCAGTTTATGCACATGACATGTTGTCACTCCTCAGCCTGAGTGCTTTGAAGACAATAGAAAATAGGACTGTTGGGGGCGCCTGGGTGGCTCAGTCATTAAGCGTCTGCCTTCGGCTCAGGTCATGATCCCAGGGTCCTGGATTGAGCCCTGCGTTGGGCTCCCTGCTTGGCCAGGAGCCTGCTTCTCCCTCTCCCACTCCCCCTGCTTGTGTTCCCTCTCTCGCTGTCTCTCTCTGTCAAATGAATAAATAAAAAAATCTTAAAAAAAAAAAAAGAAAAAGAAAATAGGACTATTGTATACTGGGAACTGACCCCGTATGGGATTCAGTATCACAGGGTGTGGACACTTTGCAGTCAGCTGGCCTTGGCCTAAATATTTCCCTAGCCTTCCATTTGCTAGCAGTGTGACCTTGGGGCAAATGACCTAGCATTGCTGCACTTGAGCTGCTTCTGCTGTGCCTAATGATAATCATTGTCCTCTAGCTGACAGGGTTGCAGTAAAA